TGTATTAAGTTTTTCCAGTAAATAAATTTAATTACTCCATAAAACAAAGACTAATAAATTGCCAATTTGAAGTAACAAATAATTGACTAAACCAGATTCAGCAAATATCCACCCATCACTTAAAACCCTCCAGCATTAAAAGTGTGGCAAATGTTTCAGTTAGATAAAAATACGGTCTTAAGCATAAAATAAATCAAAACACTTGAAAAAGTGGGAAGTTCACAATGCAATATACTTCTTCTTATTATCAATTAGACTTAAGATTTTCCATTTTAATACTTTTCTTTGAAATATCCTATTCAGATGAGTCAATATAATATTGAAGAACATACTGTTGCTTAAGACACAAGTGTTCTCATCATAATCAAAGTGTTATGAATGAATAATGGATATACTTGCAGTAGAAAGTATTGGCTTTATTTATTTATTTTTGGACAGGGTCTCATTCTGTCACCTAGGCTAGAGTGCAACGGCACAATCATGACTCACTGCAGCCTCCAACGCTCAAGCTCAAGTGATTTTCCCACCTTGTCCTCCTCAGTAGGTGAGACTTCAGGTGCACACCACCACAGCTGGCTTTTTTTTTTTTTTTGGTCGAAATGAGGTCTCACTATGTTGCCCAGGCTGGTTTTGAACTCCTAGGTTCAACAGTTCTCCCAGTGATCCTCCCATTTTGGCCTCCCAAAGTAGTGGGATCACAGGCATGAGCCACCATACGTACCCATTTTTTAAAGTGGCCTATTTCAACATTTAAGTATTCAGAAGGAATAAATAATTAGATGTACAGCTACCAAAAACCTACTCTGTAACATATGCTTCAAAAATAACAGCACCATTCACACATCATAAGGAAACATGGAAAGCAGTACCAGGGCTCTGTAGCATTTTTCTGTGTTTACAACTTAGAAGACATCTGGAAGTGTAAAGGAATGCAGAAATACATCATTTAAAAGAAAATGACTCAGCCAGCCATAACACATAAAGACATAAAACCAACAAATCATACCGCATTCCTCATCAAGGTTCACAGTCAAGCTAACTACCATATATATAAAATTATATATGTATTATATTTATATATTATATTTATATATTATATATTAATATTATACATATATATTTATCTCTGCTAGTTTGAGCTTTGTGTCTAAGGTCACTGTTGCCATTAATTAATGGAGTTAATTAAATGAGGGGTACAAACTTTTATCCAATTCTGATTGGATACTTATTCCTAGCTAATAGGTAAGAAGAAAACAGGGCTAAAGTTTGAGAGGTTTTACTACTTTTACTGAATAGTATAAAAATCAGAGTTAAATGTTCCAAATGTATAACAATTACAACTACAGTGTGAAGAAAAGCAAAAAAATTAAACATCAAACCCAAGACACAATGAAAATAATTCACAGTAAAACTAGAGTAAGTATAAGGTTTTAAGAAATAGTAATAACAGTATAAAAAGAGTTTAAAAATATTATTCTATGCTCACAAAAGTATAGGTATCCATTCATTTAGCAGACTCATAATCATTATGGTTTTGGAGGAGAATCACCTGTGTTGGAACTATCATTTAAACATTAAGACAAAAAAATTACTCAAGTCGTTTGCAAAAATGAAGATTGACCCCATGTTACGGTGTAATCAAAACTATCATTTGAGGGCAGCACCCTTTAGACTGGGTAAGGCATTAAGGCAAAGACTAGACATGAAAGGTCATTTATCTTGCTTCTACATCCACTCAATACTAAGGTAACCATCTGGAGTTCATGAGAGAACAAAGATGGGCAAATTGTTCAGACCAAAATGTATAGGCTAGTTTTTTATCCTCTACACAAGTTAAACATTAGAGATTTCCTCCCCACCCCATCTTTACTAAGGTATAATTAACTAGTAAAAAGTTTATATATTTGAGGTGTACAATGTGATATTTTCAGATATATATATATATATATATATATGCATAGTGAAATGATGACCACAGTCATGCTAATTAACATACATATCAACTCACAGTTATCTTTTATTATGTGTATTGTAAGCATATAAAAGATCTATATGCTTAGTAAATTTCATGTATCCAATATATTATTATTAACTATAGTCAACATCTGTACGTAAAGTCTCCAGAAATTATTCATCTTATACTTACAAGTTTGCTCCCTTTCATCAAAATCTACCCATTTTCCCCATCCCTATACCCCTGGAATGATCCCTCTATGCTCTGTTTCTATGAGTTTAACTTTTCCAGATTCCATGTGTATTAAATGAGGTGCTACAGTATTATCTTTTTCTGTGTCTGGCTTGCACCCCAATGACAAATACCACTTGATCATAGTTTGTGATCCATTTAATGTGCTGTTAAATTTGGTTCTCTAGTATTTTACTGAAGATTGTTACATATATGTTTATCAGAAATACTGACCTGTAATTTTCTCTCTTTATGGGGTCCTTCTCTTGCTTTACTACTAGGGTAATGCCAGCCTAGGAAAATGGGTTTGGACATGTATCATCCTCTTTAATTTTTTTGAAATAGTTTGAACATAACAGCTATTAATTCTTCTTGAAATATTTGGTATAATTCACCAGTGAAGCCATTAGGTCATGAGCTTTTCTTTGAAGGGAGATTTTAAATTAGGGATTATTACTGGTCTATTCAGATTTTCTGTTTCATCTGATTCAGTCTCTGTAGGTTGTTTGTTTCTAGGAATTTTTCTATTCTAGCCAGTCTAATTTTTGACATGTAATTGTTTATAGTAGCCTTTTATGATCCCTTTATTTCTGTGGTGTCAGTTCTAATTTCTCCTCTTTTATTTCTCATTGTACTTATTTAATTGTCTATTTTTTCTGAGTGTAGTAAAAGGTCCGTCAATTTTATTTATCTTTTCCAAAAAACAATAATTAGTTTTGTTGTTCTTTTCTATTGATTTTCTGTTCTCTATTTTATTTATCTATTCTCTGATCTTCATTATCTCCTTCCTTTTGCTAAATTTTGGCTTAGTTTGTTATTTTTCTAGTTCATTGAAATGAAAGTAGGGCTGTTTATTTGAGATATCTCTTTGTTTATCATGTAGACATTTAACACTCTAAACTTTTCACTTAGAAATGATTTTGCTGCATCCCATACGTTTTTGTATGTTGTGTTTCCATTTTCTTTTGTCTCAACATTTTTTTGATTTACCTTTTAAATTTTTGACACATTGGTTTTTCATAAATGTGTTGTTTAATTTTCATATATTTGTAAATTTTCCAGTATACTTCCTGCTACTGATCTCTAGTTTTATACTATTGTGGTTCAAAAATATGCTTAATATGATTATAATCTTTTAAAACTTAAGACTTGTTTTGTGGATTAACATATGATCTATTCAGGAGAATGCTTTTTGCATGCTTGAGAAGAATGTGCATTTAGTTGTCTTTGGATGGTGTCCTTTGTATGTCTGTTAGGTTCATTTGTTCTAAAATGTAATTAAAATCCAAAGTTTTCTTATTGATTTTCTATCTGGATGATCTATTTGTTATTGAGAGTTGGGTATTGAAGTTCCCTACTATGATTGCATTGCTCTCTATTTCTGCATTTAGTTTTGTTAATATTTGCTTAACATATTTAGATGCCTTAACAGTGGGTGCATATATATTTGCAATTGTTATGTCCTCTTGATGTAGTGACAATTTTATCATTATATAATTACCTTCATTGTTTCTTTTCCACAGTTTTTACCTAAAAGTCTATTTTGTCTGATAGAAATATAGCTACCCCTACTCTTTTAGGTTTCAGCTTTCATGGAATATCTTTTTCCATCCCTGCACTTTCAGTCTACGAGCGTCCTTAATGCTGAAGTGAGTTTCTTGCCAGCAGTATTTAGTTGCATCTTGTTTTAATCCATTCAGCCACTCTATGTGTCTTTTGATTAGAAATTTTAATTCAGTTACCTTTAAAGACATTATTAATAGGGAAAGGCTTGCTATTGCCCTTTTGACAATTATTTTCGGACCATTTTGTAGATCCTTTGATCCTTTCATCTCTCTTGCTATCTTCCATTGTGAACTGATGCTTTTCTATAGTGGTATGCTTTGATTAATTTCTCTTTATTTTTTTATGTATCTACTATAAGTTTTTGCTTCATGATTACTTTTGGCTTATATAGTTCATCCTGTAGTTATAACAATCTATTTTAAACATAATAGTTTGATTGCATAAAAAAATTGTACACTGCTTCACACCCAATTTTATGTTTTTATTGTTATAATTTACATCATTTTATCTTGTTCATCTATTAACAGGTTATGATGCTATAGTTATTTTTAATACTTTTGGTTTTTAACCTTTATATTAGAGTCATAAGTAATTAACACTCTACCATTACATTATTAGATTATGAATTTGTTTATATATTTATCTTTACTGGTGAGTTTTATAGTTTTGTTTGCCTTCATGATATTAATTAGCATACTTTCCTTCCAGCTAGCAGAACTCCCTTTACCATTTCTTGGAAGGCAAGTATAGTGGGGGCAAACTTTCTCAGCTTTTGTTTGTCTTGGAAAGTCTTTATCTCTCCATTTAAGAAGGACAGCTTTGCCAGGTAATATATTTTTGTTTTGCGATTTATTTTTCCAGCACTTTGAATATATCATTCTACTTTGTGCTGGCCTGCAAGGTTTTTGCTGAGAAACCCTGTTTCTTGGCTGAACCTCATGCAGGTTCTCTTGTATGTGATAAGCTTGTTTTTCTAGGTGCTTTAAAAATTCTCTTTGTCTTTGATTTTTGACAATTTTATTTTAATGTGTCTTAGTGAGTCTTCTTTGGGGGAACCTATTTGAGGCTTGAGCTTCATACACCTAGATGTTCACATGTCTCTCCAGATCTGAAAATATTTCAGCCATTATTTTTTAAAATAAAAATTCTGTCCCTTTCTCTGTCTCTTCTTCTGGAGCTCCCAGATAGTGAACGTTTGCTTTCTTGATATTGTTCCACAAATGCTGTAGGCTTTGTTCATTTGTTTTCATTGTTTTTTCTTTTTTTTTAATATACATAATTTTATTACAAAATTTTTTTCTTAAAAAACAAAAGGCAACATCCTAAAAAACCAAAAATTTACTATTGATACTAATTCCTACAAGTTTGCTGTGCTACCATACACAAGTCAAGAAATTTAAAAAACCATTAAATATTTAGGAACATTCAACATCAGAAGTTGTAAAATCTAACTGTATGTAGTAGCCCATCGAAAAGCTACAACCTGCAGTTTTTAAAAAGTATTTTCTCTACAGAGAATCTTATCAGCTCTACAAAAATCTGTACATTTTTATACTGAAGCTAATATTGAGCTGCACTTGAATTGACATTCTTAGGAAAACGATTGCCTGAGCACACACGCACACTCCACACTCATCATTAAAGGATAGCCATTTATTCTTCATCTTCATCCTCTTCCTCATCATCTTCATCTTCTTCCTCCTCCTCCTCCTCCTCCCCATCTTCTGGTTCATTCTTCTTCTTTGAGCCTGTTGGCCTGCCAGGGCCTTTCTTTCCTGCTTCACTTTTGCCCTTGGCACAATATGCAGCAATATCCTTTTCATATTTCTCCTTTAGTTTAGCTCCTTTCTGTTCATACGGTTGTTTATCTTTGGCTGACTGCTCAGACCACATTCCACCCAATGTCTTTGCCGTATCCCCAATGGATAGGCCTGGGTGTTCACTTTTGATGTTTGGGCGGTGTTCAGAGCAAAACAGGAAGAAGGCAGATGGCGGCCTTTTAGGAGCATTGGGATCCTTTTCCTTTCCTTTCTTATGACCTTTGGGAAGGACGTAATTTTTCATCTCCCTATCATAGCGAGCTTTGCCACTTTTTGCCATATCTTCAGACTTCGACTTCTCCTTTGCAGACACGGTCTTCCATCTCTCCGCACACTTCTTGGAGAACTCCGTGAAATTGACGGAAGAGTCCGGGTGTTTCTTCTTGTGCTCTTCCCGGCAGGTCTGCACGAAGAAGGCGTACGAGGACCTTTTGCCCCTCGGCTTGTTGGGGCCTCCTTTACCCATGGCGAACAGAGCGGCGTCCACCTGGTACGAGCTTTTCCTCAGGGTCCCGCAAAGCGGCCGGACACGACTAAGACGCTTCCCTCGCGAGGCTCCGGCGTAAACTCTTTTCTCTCTTTTTTATCTCTGACTGAATATCTTCAAGTGCTATATCTTCAAATTCACAGATCATTTCTGCTTGATCTAGCCACCTGATGACACTCTCTATTGCAATTTTCATTTTATTCATATATTCTTCAGCTCTAGAATTTCTGTTGGTTTCTCTCATAATTTCTGTATCTTTATTGAACTTCTTATTTTGCTTATGTATTTTTTTTTCTGATATCATTGAGTTGTTTTTCTGTGTTTTCTTGTAGCACACTCAATTCACTTAAGGAATTGCTCCCTTAAAACAATTATTTTGAAGCTAATTTGTCAGGCAATTTATAGATCTTAATTTTTTTGGTGGGCTCATTATTGGAATATTATTTTGTTCCTTTGATAATATCATTTTTTTTTTTTTTATTTTCTAATGTTCTTTGAAGTCTTACATTGCTGTATTCTCGTTTGAAGAAGCAGTTATCTCCTTCAGTTTTAATTCTTCACCAGTCAACCCGGCCAGAGATTCTGAGCTCTCTTAGATTCACCTAGTGCTCTTAGACCTTTCCCATGGATGCATCTGCTCCATACCATTTGTTCCCTCTCATGGAGGAATTCTTAAGACTGTATGCTGTCTCTTGATCCCACAAAGCCAGGACAGGTTCTGAGAACCTCTCATTTGTGTTCTCTACAGCCGTGCCCTGAAATGCACAAGTTCATATGCCTTCTCTCAATCCTGCAGAGTCATGCTTGCTGTCTGAGTGAGACACTTGCTCTTGCTGTCTATAATGGTATTCCAAGGGAGCTAACTTGGGTCATGGGTGGACTTCCTCATGGAGTCTGTAGAGTGGTTAGCAGGATCTATAACCTCCCTTTCCTGCTCCCAGCCTCTTCCAACCACTCAGTCATGCTAATTACCTCCGTATCCTGGGTGGGGTTAGAAAGAAATGGGTGTCTTGGGCAGCATCCCATTTAGCCAGGGGAACTGGGCACTTACTCACTACTTGTTTATCTTTCCATATGGGAATACTTGTAGGTTGAGGGAGCCTCTCTTGGCACTGAGCTATGCCCAGGGAAGGGGTGACATGGATAAAGGGGAGACATGAGTAAAGTGAAACTATTCTTCTTATTCTCCTCAATACATCTATCCTTGGATATCTTTTGCTCCAACAGTGTGCTGGGGCTTTTCTACTAGATGCCCGGACTCCCAAAAAGGTACTCTCATCCATTGTTAGTTATCAAAATCAGTGCTTCTGTGGGATATTATGGTATTATGTTTCTGTTCCACCATCTTGCTCTAATTATTAGTGCTTAATAGATTTATTGCCTGGACATCAGTGTGGTATAAGAGAAAGGATTTGCATCACACAAAAAGGAATCACAAGTTCTTTCTCTTTCTACCTCTCTGTGTGTGTCTTTCTCTCAGTATAAACATACTGTTTGCATTTTTTAGCACATTTGTCTAGTCAAAGTATTAAATATATTATGTGCATTATCTTTTTAATCCCTACAAACATCTTGTGTTGTATATTTTATTATTATCTCTATTTTACAGCCGGTTCAATAGTAATTTTTTTAAACCCAAAGAAATGGTATAGAGGGAAAAAAAGGAAAAGAACACGGTAATACAATGGAGTAAGTCATTTGAGCCTTATTAAACTTACGATGGTCACACACGAAAACTGATCTGAGATAACTTTTATCATACATACAAATTTTATCATATCAATTCTCCCATGCTAATTTTTTTATTTAAGGTAAATGTCTACCCTCAGAAATTTAGGGGGAATAAAAAATATGTTAACACTATTAACAAATCCTATAGAACTTAGAATCTTAGAAAAACTAGAGGAAAAATCAATCTAACAGCTTTTGGTAAACTAGGACCTCATATAAAATTATGAAGGAAAATAACTCCTATAACAGATTTGCTAAACATTTCTGCTTTTCTTTGGTAAAAGTATTTGATGATTTTTGAAATATTTGTTTTAACTTTCATGTCAGCAATTATTGAGTGATTTATAACAATTACATTAACTATATTGAGTTTTTATATAATGATTTTTATACTCCTTTTCTTGGGTTTTACATTTCCTTATATTAAAAATTCTTACTATACATTCATCTTGAATTATGGATCATTTTATATTATTTTTGAGAGATAAATTCAGAACTTTTAGAGCTTAAAAACATTTTGCACATTATTTTTATATTTATTTTGTAGCCAAGAACATTGAGAAGAAATTAGGCTCCACCATGTGGGACAATGACCTAGGTAATTTAAAAAAGAAAAGCAGGGCTGCAACCCACACTCTTCACTCCTACATAGCCCTCTAAAGGTGAATTTGATCAGCACATTATGAGCAAACAAATATACTAATTTTTCCTTTTCTCATTCATTTTTGGCTCTAGTCAACCTGTAATAAGAGTTAAAGTAAAAAGCATACAGTAGCCATACTTTAGTTCCTACATATATGAAAGTTGTTTAAAATCCAGGATGAGTAAAGTTTCAGGCAGTCAAACGTTCTCACAGAAGATCTGTTATTTTACATATGATACGTTTTTCTCAGATCCCTGAAGAACTAGATAGTTAAACATGTATTGGTACAAGGTCATTGCTTTACTGAAATGGCTTTAACTTAACATAAATCAACTCAGTACCTCTGTATATCCCTTATTTAAGGAAAGACATAGAAATCTGGATCTATGGTCACTTTAATTCTTACTTGTCCACACTTACTGAGGTAACAGTCTACCTTCCTGTGCTTCTATTTCCTGTTGGGTGTTTAAGATCAGATGGTGTTAAAAACATCTCTGGAAGTGAATGCACAGGTGGCAAAGGAACTGAACTGCAATTTGTGAGCTAAACAACTTGCTTTTGTATTTGATGCAATCACCAGAATAAAATAAAAGAGAATAAAACTTCTACTGTCTGAGTTGAAGTTAAATTTGCAGAAATAAAAATGAAAGAGTCAAAAAATATAATTTGTAGTTAAGTACTAAAATTATCATCAACAAAAAGTCTCTATGGGGCTTCCAGGGCTGTATCTCTATATTACATGCATACCCATTTTATATATTTTACTCTGTCAAATCTTTATGCATGACCACAATCAAAAGGACACATATTTTGAAATTTCCTTCTTTGTTTTACCGTGCTGGTAACAGCCTGCCCTGCACTTCACAACCATCAGTTTTAATCTATTGATTTTATTTATGAACAAGTGGGTTAAAAGCATAGCATGCAAAATTAAGGAACAGCTGAAGACAGTATTCTGTTGGATGTCTGCTTGATATCTGCTTGATATCTGCTCCAAAATAAAGTTTTTCTATGCACAAACTAAAATGTTATGTTTTGAATTAAACCTTTGACTTTATTTTATGATCACCAATATGTTTAGTCAAATTGTTTTAAAATTTTTAATGTAGAAAAACATTCCTTTTCAAGCTGTCCCCAGCACAATTTCATCAAAAATGTCTCAAGGGAGAAGTAACAAGTGGAGAAAAAAAAAGATTACCTCCCACTAAAAATATCTGCACTATATAATTAGCTGATAAACATATAGAAATGCAGCCCAAAGAAACAGAACAGCTTGCTAACAAAATAGTATTCTCTTTAACTGAAATAACAAGAATTTCCAAACAGCTCTAAAATAAGGCAAACTGTTTTTTAAAAAAATTAATTCCCTTGAACAAAGTAGTGAGTAGGGATAGAGGGACAGGAAGCGCCATAATAATTCTGCAAGTTTTAGCCAAATATCCCACAGATCTGGGCATGAGAAATGGGACTGGAATGCAGTGTAAATAGATAATTCTTCTTAGCAGAGGCATTCTCCTCTTGATGGTCCTTTCTAATCTGTCCTGTGCTGTAAGACATTTGAAAAACATTGTCATACCTACATTCTGACTTATTGCCTGTCATTAATATGGAATGTGATAGGAATTTTTATGAAATCTTTGTCAGACTCAAGGTTTTATCAGCATCAACTCTATGCAGAATATAAATATTTTAAATAGTACATGCTCAATGCTTGGATAAAAGTTTTTAAAAATATTACCCACTATCTCCTCCCTCATTGTGCTTTGACTATTTCAGAATGCTCCACTATATATTGAAGATAAAAGAAGACTATTGTGTTGGGAACTCTGGAGAAGTGAGATAGAAAATTTAAGTCAGGTGTGAGAAAGAGAAGCAACGCCACCAGAGAGATGGAAAATATATCTATTTTTATAATAGCTGTTAAGTTCAGCGAGTTGTACATTAAGACATGAGTAAAGGAATTCCAAATGAACATTGTAGACTAAGAAACTCACTTGCTAACAGCAGGCTGGATGCCAAAGACACACATTTCTTCACCCTTCTTTCTACTATATAGGTTATTACTGAACACACAGTTCTTTAGAAGGGGAAGATAAACAAATGCTTAAGTATGTAAATTGATTGCCAGGAATGCAAATATTTCCATTCTGCTTTGCTAAGGTCATTAAAAACACACCCAGGGGAAAAAATCACTACTTTTTTATAAATTAATTTTCCATCTCTAGATTGTACAGTTTCCAATCCAACATCTGTTACCTTTGTTAGTCTGTGATCTGCCAAAGACTGTTCTTTTTAATATCCATTTAGAGAAATGTGAAATTCATAATTTTAACTCTTTGAATGTCATAAAAATTTTAAAATATGTATCTCTTGCTTAAGGAACTAGGTAATGTTGGGGACAATGTTGATAATCCATTTGTAGAAAAGATATCCATTCATGTGTTTGCCTCTTACATGGCAAAGAATTCGAGAGAAAAAGATAGAAGAAAATACACTTGTTTTTTATGTTCTAAGTTACTTAATGCTAAACACTTTTTCAGAAGAGTAAATGTGTGTATCAACTGAGCAGTACATGTAAGTGATCTGAACAAATATTATCAAGTGGGCTCTTTATGATAAAACAAAATAAAGAATACTGTAATACTCACAAAAAGGCTCAAGTTGAAGGTATACATCTAGAAAAGTGGAAGGAAGAAGCCACCAGAGGGAAAGAGGAGTCT